ATTTTACCTAGGGCTATCGACGTGTGTATCATCTCGAGGCTTGCTTAGTTGGCATCAGACGAATTATTTTAGAATGGCATTGTTACGCATCCAATTTGAAAGTGACTGCCATCTACGGTAGCCCTGACGGACTTTAACTTATTATCACACAAGTTCATGAGAAATGACCATAGCTACCCTAGCTATGACGTTACAATCACAAACCTTGAATCCACTTCGGTCCTTATGACCTTGCTTGTGTTTCCCGTAGCTAGGACCTTAGCCAGTTGCAAGGCGTTCCATTGGATCCGTCGATAAGTTCAGTTGTTATATTGCATTTCAGATCACACTTTTGAAGGCAATATTTTACAGTTAGGGCAATGTATGTCATAGAAACAATAAATTTCTCCTACAATCAACATCGGAGATACAAACTCGGGCTGCTGCGATTTCTGGAGCCAAGCCTCACAGTAGTCCTTGGACCTAACCTTGTTCTCTTTTTATCGAGCATTCCCTCAGCCAAATATTAGGCTCCTACAGCAGAAACTTTTAGTTGTTGTTTAAACGTTTTGGAACATGAGTTAATTGAAATATGAGCACCCCCTGAAATCAACCCCAGATCTCACTGTAGTTCGTGATAGTGGCAACGTCCCAAGCACTTCTTCCCCATCATTGTTGAATGCTGTTCATAATGTCTGTGAGAACGGTCCTACTAGAACCAACTCTAACTGTGTCATTCTATACGAACGCGCACGTTTCTAAACTGTGCATTTCCAACTACCTCCCTTGCTTTCTTAACCTTGTTGGTATATCTTTATATAATTTTTATAAATGTTGGTCCCAGATCAATACAAGTAAATCCAATAACGGTGTCATTCAAATTTGCCAGAATTTCTTTTTGGCGCCTTTACAGTGTAGATTACCACCGCACAAATAAGTAAACTGAGCATATTTGAAAATGTAACGTTTCCTATAGTAGATTTCAAAATGTCAGTCGAACCATTGTAATCCGATAAAATTAATCTGTTCAACATACTGTCGGAAGTACCCTCCTCTAGGTCGCTATTCAAATGCAAACGTGTACCAAAGGAAGGTAAATGGCAAACACATAGGTATGGATTTCAGGAGGAATGGTAATATTACAGAGTTCATGAATAGATCACAGAAAAATGGTCTCTGGCTATCGATTCCAAAAAAACGGAGTCCAAACGAATGACAAACAAGAAGAGGGCAAATATATCACCTACGAATTGCTGTATCCAAACAGGTAAATCATTCTCAGTAGAAATTCCATATACAACTTTATACTGCATACTATTCGAGGAAATTCCACACACAACTACGTCCATTCAGTTAATGTGTTGTTTTATAGCTTTTTTCTCGTGTATGTCACTCTGTTGAGCTTCCTTCACCGTTAGCTTTTACTAACCGCATTGGTCGTGTTTGTCTACAGTTCTGCTACTCCTGCAAGCAAATTTCCTAAACTTGTAAATGTTTGATTATTTCCCCCATACTAGCGGGAACGCATTTACGAAAACTTATAAATAATAATGAGCAGCATAAGGCATATTAAGTACTTAAGAGAACTGTAAGAAGTACTAAGTGCTTGTTTCAGAAAATAAATGCAATTCCA